CTGATGTGAGACAAAGCCACCCTTGTAGTGCAAGAGACTGGTGTCAGAGCCTGTGTACTCACTGTCATTTATTTTTTATTTTAAGACTTTATTTTTAATTTATTATTATTTTATTTGTCTTTTTGAGACAGGGTCTTACTATATGTAGCCAATGCTGTCTTTGGACATCTGTTCTTCCTGCCTCAGCCTCCCAGAATATTGGGATAACAGGTGTGTACAACCAGACTTAACCAAGACTTTATTTTTAATTGACAAATATTTGAATATATTTATGGTGTAAAATAGACTTTATTTTTAATTTATTATTATTTTATTTGTCTTTTTGAGACAGGGTCTTACTATATGTAGCCAATGCTGTCTTTGGACATCTGTTCTTCCTGCCTCAGCCTCCCAGAATATTGGGATAACAGGTGTGTACAACCAGACTTAACCAAGACTTTATTTTTAATTGACAAATATTTGAATATATTTATGGTGTAAAATATAATATTTGGCCAGGCATGGTGGTGCACGCCTTTAATCCCAGCACTTGGGAGGCAGAGGCAGGCAGATCTCTGTGAGATTGAGGCCAGCCTGGTCCACATAGTGAGTTCCAGGCCAGCTGGGGCTATAGGGAGATCCTGTCTCAAAAAAAGACCATATATATATATATATATATATATATATAAAATATTTGATACATGTTAACTTTATGGGATGATGAAATCAGTCTATTAATGAATGTAGCACCTCACACACTTTTTGGTGACATAAGTACTTTTTTAGATTTATTTATTTTTATGTATATGAGTGTTTACCTGAATGTATATATGTGTACCACATGCATGCTGTGCCTGAGGAAGCCAGAAGAGGGCATTGGATCCCCTGGAACTGGAGTTGCAGAGGGTTATGAGCTACCATATGGGTGCTTGGAATCTAACTGTCTTCAGGAGCAGCAAGTGCTCTTAAATGCTGAGCCATTTCTCCAGCCCCCTTTGCTGCATGCACATTTAAAATCTGTTAGCAATTTGAAAAATCCATTCGATCGTTGCCAGCTGTAGCCACCATGCCATGTAGTGTATTCCTCTGCTCTAACTGACACTTTGTGACCTTGGACCAACAACTCCCCATTCCCAGCCTCTGTGAGTCATGATTCAACTCTTCCACAAGTTCAGTCCTTTCTGAGTTCATATATAGTGAGATCATGGTGGAATCTTGTCTTTCTGTGCCTGGCTTTTTCACTTAGAATCCTGTTAGCCAGGATCATCCATGTTGATGGCAGTGACAGGATTTCCTTCTATTTTTATTATTTTTATTTAATTTTTGTGTTTATAGTGTATGTGTTTGTGTACACTTGTGAGTGCAGATGCATGTGCATGTATGTACATGCATGTGGAGGCCAGAAGTGAATGTGGAGTGTCTTCTTTTATCACCATTCTCCACCTTATTTTTTGAGACAGGGTCTCTCACTGAACCTGACACTAATGAATTGGGCTAGACTGACTGATCCCACAGGCTCAGGAAATCCACCCATCTCCACTCCAACCCCAGTGCCAGGGTTACACATGTGCACAACCACACCTAGCTTTTCTATTTGGGTGCTAGGGATCTCAACTTGGGCTCTCATGCTTATGTGACAAGCATTTTACCTGAGATTGCCCCCTGACTTTTATACATGTACATTCCCCCCCAACACACACACCACAAGCACACAAAACAATTAAAAATGAAAATGAAGGCCAGTGTGGTGGTGCATGCCTTTAATCCCAGCACTTGGAAGACAGAGGCAGGTGGATCTTTGTGAGTTTGAGGCCTGGTCTACATAGCAAGTTCCAGGCCAGCTGGGGCTACAGAGAGACTCTGGCTCCAAAAGTCAAAACAAAACCAAAAACATGCACCACCACACACAACCCCACACACAAAAAAAAAAAAACCAAAAAAAAAAACCCCAGGGCTGGAGAGATGGCTTAGCAGTTAAGAACACTGGTTGTTCTTGCAGAAGACCTGGGTTTGAATCCCAGCACCCATATGGCAGCTAACAATTGTCCATAACTACAGTCCCAGTGGATCCCACAGGCTCTTCTGTCCTCCGTGGGCATTGCACGACATGGGTGCACTTACCTACATGCAGGCAATACATGCATACACATAAAATAAAAATAATAAAATTAAAACAAAACAAAACAAAACACACAGCTTAATGGGATGATCCAGGATCTGAACAAAAGCATTGGATTCCAGGGCTCCTATTAATGTATCTGCTCCCAAATTCCATACCAGGGAGGCTCACAGGAGAGGTATACACATGAGGAGCACAGGGCCTTGCAGCCTGGCTGAGATCATTTCTCCTCTGCTACCCTGCAGCCAAGTGCCCGCAGCTCCCCACACAGTCCCTGGAGTGCAGCAAGCAGCTGGACCAGCAGGCGCTCCAGCCGGAACAGTCTGGGCCGGGCCCCCAGCCTAAAGCGCAGGAGCCCTAGTGGGGAGCGGAGGTCCCTGCTTTCGGGCGAGGGCCAGGAGAGCCAGGATGAGGAGGAGAGCTCAGAAGAGGAGCGAGCTAGCCCAATGGGCAGTGATCGTCGCCACAGGGGCTCCTTGGAACGAGAGGCCAAGAGCTCCTTTGACCTCCCAGACACACTGCAGGTGCCGGGACTGCACCGCACAGCCAGCGGCCACAGCTCTGCCTCTGAGCACCAGGACTGCAACGGCAAGTCAACTTCAGGACGCCTGGCGACGGCCCTGCGGCCTGATGATCTCCCACTGGATGGGGATGATGGTGATGACGAGGGCAACCTGGTGAGACTTCCATGGGGCACAGTGACCCCCTCACCCCTGAACTTGAGAGAGGGCAGCTGTGTCTGACCAGCAGTGTAAAGGAGTTACTGCTTTAAGCACAAGGGATCTCAATGAATGCCTAGTCTGCAATCTGACCTCCAAGCAGCCTCTTTCTCCCTCTGCCTCTCTGCAGAGCCTCAGGTCCTCGTGCCTGGGGCTGCTCTCTGCTATCCTTGGTGGATATGAATGGTTTTGGACAGATATGTATGAATCTTTCATGGCCCTCCCCCTGTGACTCAGAAAGACCCATCACTCATCTCTCTAAACTGATGTCTCCCCTCCCCTCCTGTCCCCCTTTCTCATCTGGACCTCATCTGTGATGAGCCTTAACTTCCAGCCTGTCCTTGCCCATTCACTCCTCCCCCAACCCCCATATCACCCCTTTATCCTGAAGATGAGCACAGGGCAGGAATATAGGATGCAAGGTTAGCACGTGAGGAGGAGGGCCAGTGTCTCCTCTGCCCAGGTGTGTCTTTGAACAGACAGCTGTGATGAGTACAATGTTCACTAATTGATGCAGCTTCCAGTCCCAGTCAGGAGAGAAGGGGGCAGGCAGGCGAGGGTGTTGGGGGCTGGATGGGAATTGCTCTGAGCCTTGGCTGGGGAATGCAGGGAAGGAGGGTCAAGGTGAAGGAAGGGCAGTGATCAGGGATGGGGAGGACCTGTAGGGTTTAGAGTAAACCAAAAGGTAGTTTTAAAAATAAAGGTAGAGGGGCTCTGGAGATAGTTCAGCGGTTAAGAGCACTGACTGCTCTTGCAGAGGACCCGGGTTCGATTCCCAGCACCGACATGGCAGCTACGAACCGTCCTTAACTCCATTTCCAGGGGAATCAACACCCTCTTCTGATCTCCGAGGCACTGAACAACACAGGTGCACTCACATACATGCAGGCAATACACTCATACACATAAAATAAAAATATTAAATAAAATATATTTAAAAAATAAAGGTAGAGGATCAAGGCAGAGGGCTGGGTCAGAGAGGTTGAAAAAGGTGAGACAGGTATGGATCTTGGAGTTGCTCAGGAGGAGACGGATTGAAGGCTTGGAGGCTTGATTCAATTCAAACTTCAGTGTTCCTTCCACAGAGCAAAGGGGAACGGATCCGAGCCTGGGTCCGAGCCCGCCTCCCTGCCTGCTGCCGAGAACGAGATTCCTGGTCAGCCTACATCTTCCCTCCTCAGTCAAGGTCGGTTATGGTGCTATCCTGAATGCTAGAAATGAGGGGGTCTAGGGCAAGGTGGCCATCCTTGCAGAGAGTCCTGTAGGGGTAGTCGGTCTGTGCCTCTCCTTGCCTGTGCCTTTCCTTCCCAGCCTTTGCCTCTGTCCCTGGACCAGGTTCCGCCTCCTGTGTCACCGGATCATCACTCACAAGATGTTTGACCACGTGGTCCTCGTCATCATCTTCCTCAACTGCATCACCATTGCCATGGAGCGCCCCAAAATTGACCCCCACAGTGCTGTGAGTCACCAGGAGTGTAAACACGGCTGTTGAGTTCTGCTGGGTGCCAAGATCCTCCTGGGTTAGCGTTAGCATTCAAAACAAGCAAAGGAGGCGAGAAGGACCAGACTGTCTCCAAACTATCTCCAGTCTGCCTAGGATCACACATCACAGACAGGGCAAGGAGAAGATCCAGGACTCCTCCTTAGGTCTCCCAGAGTCTTGCTTCTGCCCCCCACTTCCAAGATGCTTCTGTGTCCTCTCCTGCCTCAGTTTCCCTTCTACTGACATACCAGCCTAGCTGGATGTTTCATTGCACTCCAGGCTATACAGAGCCCACTGTTCTTTTGAGTCTTGTGAGGCATATATGTGTGTGAGTCCCGTGATGAGGGTGACACACATGAGACTGATCCTATGAGGGCTGATCAGTACTGCTTCCCCTGTGCCTGCCTAGGAGTCTCAGTGCCACCGTGACTGGTGCATTGCTGGGGGACATCTCACCCACTCTGCCCCAAGGGTATTGTTGAGCTGGGCTGGGGAGCTGCTCTTTGCCCCTTGTGGTCTTACCAGGTGAGAAACAGCTAGGCTTTCTGGGGCCTTCTGCTTGGCTATGAACTTGTCAGTCCTCAGAACAGCAGAAGCCAGAGACTGTAGTACTGACATCCTTCCCAGGGGCCTCACTTCTTTGGATGGGTCCAACTGGTCTTGGGAGCTATCTGTCGAAGCCTGGCATCAAATCCACTGCTGGCATCAGTTCAAATTATAGAAGTGTGGCAAGGGTGGCCCATTCTCCCTCTAGGCACTCAATACCACTTGCTTAGAGGTGGCCAGAGGTTCCCCCCTCCTCACCCCTTCTCACCGCCTCCCCCATCATTGTTTGAATTTCAGTGCTGTTGGGGCTTCTGTTTTCCATTAGGGTTGGATCTAACTAGGCCAGAGAGGAGGTGGAGAGAGCCAGAGGATTAGAGGGGCCTGCTAGTCTGCACTACATGAGTGAGAGAATGCTGGTACTGGGGACCCCTGCCCAGGCTGGTGCACTGCCCATGCCTGCCTGCTGCCCGCCTGAGACTGTGTACAGCAATCTGACACTGTCTTTCCACCTTCCCACTTAGTTCCTCTGTCCGCAGCTCAGTCACTGACCAGCTTCCCTCTGTCCTCTGTTCCTTACTCTCATGTACTCATGCTCAGTACTGCTGGCCACCTCTTGAACTCCCCTCTCTTGGCCATCAAGGATGACCTCAGCCCATAAACACCAGGGCACTGGGTCACCCATGCCTGGCATAAATATGGTGCCTAGGGAGGCACAGCCTGTCCCCATGTGCCCAGCTTGCTTGCTGTATCATTTCTGGGGGACACAGCAAGAAAGTAAATGAGATGGAGATGGGAAGGGTGGCAGAGGTCAGAGATCAAGTTAAATCCTGCTCTAGTTTCAAGAAAGAAATCAGGGGGGATTGGGTCTGGGATTTGCTACCCAGATAACAGCCTATCCCCTCCATGGGACATGGAGTTCTGTTCAGGGACAGGGGCAAGACTTTCCACAGAGCTGCAAGTGAGGCTAGAGCTGGTATTGTGTGCATGTGGGTGGGGGGCTCTTCTTTATCAATTGTTTTGGCTTTTGTATGCAGGGCAGACCTAGCCCATGAACAGGACTCCAGATGGGCAGTACTTGCCTCCTCTCTCTTGCAGGAACGCATCTTCCTGACCCTCTCCAATTACATCTTCACCGCAGTCTTTCTGGCTGAAATGACAGTGAAGGTGATTGAGGGGGTGGGGTCAGCACTGGTTTGAGCCCTCTGGTGTGGTGGGTGAGTGGATAATGGAACTAGCAGCAGAGGGTGCGAGTGTTGGCCACAGTGGAGGGCAGAGTTGGGGACTGCAGGGAGGGTGGCTAGTGACCATGATGCCATGATGGTCCCCAGGTGGTGGCACTGGGCTGGTGCTTTGGGGAGCAGGCATATCTGCGCAGCAGCTGGAATGTGCTGGATGGGCTGCTGGTGCTCATCTCGGTCATCGACATCCTGGTGTCCATGGTGTCAGACAGCGGCACTAAGATCCTGGGCATGCTGAGGGTGCTGCGGTTGCTGCGGACTCTTCGCCCACTCAGGTGACCCATCCTCCCCTGGGAGGTTTACACTCCCCACCCCAGCACTGTGTTCTCCTGAGGGACACCTTTAACAACCAGCACCCCCACAAGGGAACAAATTCCCTCAGGTACCCTATGTCCTGGTGTGTCCCCACAGGTAATCCTGTGTCCCACTCCACACATCACTCACGTCACAGCCCTGCTCATTTCCCTCCAAGATACATAGCTGCTGTCATTTCTTTACTTTGCTCCTTTCCAGTGTAATGTACTCCTTGGGGCCACTTTGCATGTGACACGGCCTGTCATGACCAACTCCATTAGGAGCACAATAGAAGGGCTCTTAAGCCTCTGGCTAAAGCCCTCCTTTGGGGGACCCCTCAGGATGATGCTCAGCCTCTCTTGTGAGGGACACATCCTCTTGCTGGCTTTCCTCACCTTCTACACCCCTCAGGGACCACCCCCTGGTAACACTTTTCCTGTCTGGAGATCTGTCTTCCCCAGCCAGGCAGTCACCATCTCCTAAGTCAGGATTGATAGAGCTACTTCCCTGGCTGTAATAATCCATCTCCCTCTTCCTTGGCTGTCCCTGCCTACCTGTCCCAACACTTGTCTCCTAGTTATCATCTACCCCCCCATACCCAATACTGCATCCCTAGGGAGCACTTCCCTTGAGCTTGGTCCTCTTCAACTCCCAGCCTGATGAGAGAACACACTTGATATGCTGAGGTTGGAGGTGGAGATGTGGCAGCTGCAGGTGCCTGCAACCTGTTTAGAGACTGCAGGGGCAGGGTCGTTGTGGTGGGGGCTCTGTGTAAAGAGGGCTCTGCATAATGAGCCTCCCTACCCCAAGGCAGAGTGGAAGGATTGTGAGGCAAGGTTGGGGTGTGGGGAAGGGTTCTAGCAGAGCAAAAGCTATAGGAGTGTTTGAGCTGGGAAGCCCCTCTTACCACCCTCCCTCTGCTTCCCAGGGTGATAAGCAGGGCCCAGGGGCTGAAGCTGGTTGTAGAGACACTAATGTCCTCCTTGAAGCCCATCGGCAACATCGTGGTCATCTGTTGTGCCTTCTTCATCATTTTTGGCATTCTGGGGGTGCAGGTATGTGGAGTTGGGAGGTCTGGGGGGGGTCCTGTCTGAAATTCTTAGGAGTGTCCCTCCTCTCCTCTTGGCCCTGGGTTAAGCTTGCTGCGGCCATCATTCCAAACAGGAAAAAACAGAATCCCTTCCTTCCAGGGCCTAAGCCTCAGGCCCTTTTGCCTGCTGGACATTTTACAGAAAAGTGGAAGCCGTGAGGGGACCCTCCCCAAGGGACTCAGTCTCAGAGAGGTTGAGGCCCATTGGTAACCACAGCCTGCTGTCCCTGCCCACTGCTGTCCCTGCCCCCTGGCATACTTGTTCACACAGATACTGGTCTGCACTGAGTCCCCTTTCCTTCTCTGCTTGAGCAGGGTGGGCTAGATGCCAGGCCTGGGGATCCAGGACCCAGACAGCTGGGCCAGGTTAGCGGAGTGCTGGCAGGCAGGCCAGTGTAGACCCCAGACAAGGCAGGAAGTGGGGGCTGCCGAGGAAACCTGGCTTTTGGCCCAGGGAGGAAACTTGGCTTCAGAGGAAAAAACTAAAGCTGCCTGCAAGGTTCAGTAGAGGCTTCAGGGAACCGGGGAGCCCCTCTGCCCCAGCTTCATCATCTAGTGTCCCTACTCCAACTACTCTTCATACTCTTCCCTCTGCTTCTAGAATGCCCACTGTGTCCTGGAGAGGGGTTGTTCCCTGGTTTCCTAGAAGCTCTCTAGCCGCAAGGACCAGGTTGCATTTGCCAAAGCTGTGTAGAGTCTTTCTGCCCTACCTCACTCCCCATCCCACCTGTGGTCCAGTGCCCACTCTCTTCACCACTTCCCTTGGCTCAGGAGAGTGAGTCATTGTTGAGCCCAGCCCCCTGGGTTTAGGTCTATCCCAAATGGCTCCCTGAGGCCCCAGGTCCTCCTGTCCTTCAACCTCCCTTCCCCAGCAGGCATGGCCTGGTCTAAACTAGAATGAGGGTAAGCTTCCTAGGCAGACCTGAATTCAAGCCCTTTTCTAGCAGCTATGTCCCTAGGGAGTAAATGAAGATCTCCGAGTCTCAGTTTTTCTTACCCTTAAAGTGGGTCTGATCATCCACATACCTCCTGTAGCTGCTATGAAAATTGAATATGTAGCCCAGTGGTCATCAAACTTGAGCATCCATCAGAGTCACACAGGCTGCTTGTTAAAAGATTGTGAGGCCCACTGTAGCATGTCTGATACAATAAGTGTGAATGGGTTGGAGGAGTGTTCTAGCACGTTCTCAGGTGATATTGTTGGACTCCACCCCCCACCCCCAATCTGGAGCACCATCGACCTAGCTCTTGGAAGAAGATGAATGATTGAGCCCTTCCTTGCACTGTGTCCCCTTCTCTCAGGGCACAGGCAGAGAGTACTCTTCATAGGGTCTCTGACTGACATTACTAACCCCAGAGAAGAGCACTGTCCTCCTGATTCAGGTCCTGGACTCAGAGCTGGGGTGAGGAGTCCTAGGCTAACTCTGTTTCTCACATATGTGTGTCCAGCTTTTCAAAGGAAAGTTCTTCGTGTGTCAGGGCGAGGACACCAGGAATATTACCAACAAGTCTGACTGTGCTGAGGCCAGTTACCGGTGGGTCCGGCATAAGTATAATTTTGACAACCTCGGCCAGGTGAGTTCCAGGCTTGGGGGGTGGGGAGCTTGGAGGGGACACAAGTCCATGCTGAGTGATACAGACTGAATTGGCTGGAGGTGGGCAACCATGGAGAGAATGGCCTGCTGGTTAACTGCCTTCATGCCCCAAAGCTAGTCTATCCACGCACCCCACTGAGCAGTCCACAAGGGCCTATAGCCCTCCAAAGATGAGATGGAGATTCAGAGACAGCTGGGAATTGGCCCAGGGCCACAGTGCTGCATGGTAGGGCAGAGAGCACTTGTAAGGCTTAGACCAGGCTGCTCTAGATGTGTCCTGGCACCATCAATATCAATCAGCTCAATGACCTACAGGGCCTCCGTTTTGTCATCTGGTGAATGGGTTCATGTTAGTGTTTCCTTAGGGCTGGTAGTAAGGGCATGATGTGTGAAATGTACATTGGCTTACATGGTGAGATACATGTTGTTAGGAAGATTCTTTTTCCTTCCATGTTTTCAGAAACAGACAGGTTATGAACTAGCTGGGCTGTAGATAGAGCTGAGAATTCATGGGGCCTTGGGTTCAATCTCCATTACTGCAAAAAGAAAATAAAGTAGCTGGTTCAGTTTTGTTATTTTATTTTCCACGCCCCCCCACCCCATTCCTGTTTTGATTTCTAGATTCCCAGGGCGCTGGGAATCTGAGGAAGGTTAGAGGCTTGGTCATTTTACATGTCTTACCAGCCATGGGATCCCAAGACAGGGAGTTCTCCTGGAGATGCTTTGATGAAGTGGTAGGTGGTTTGGCCACACATTCTAGATTTCAAATAGTCCGTCATCTCCTCCTTTCCTCTCCACTTGCCCCCAGGCTCTGATGTCCCTGTTTGTGCTGGCCTCCAAAGATGGTTGGGTAGACATCATGTATGACGGGCTGGATGCTGTGGGTGTGGACCAGCAGGTAAGGCTGAGGTGGGGAGGACCACATCTGGGTTCAGGTCTTTCACTCTGGGCTGGTTGATGAGCCTAACTAGGCAAGCAATAATCAGAAGAGCAGAAACCATCAAAGAGGAGCAGGACCTCACTGTGGGGCTGTGACTAGAGGCCCACAAGCCTGCAATAAATTTAAATCATTTCAAATGAGAGGTGCATAGTTAAAAATAGATGGCATATAAACCCAGATGGGGAGTGCTCAGGGAAAGTCTGAAGGTCTAGGGACACTGGGCAGGTATCACCACAGGACAGGAGTCAGCTGGAACACAGAAGCAGCTACTGGATAGAGAATACCTATTCTCTTTCATCACACTCCCCACCCCTCCCTATTGCCTGATGCCAGCCACTCACCTGTCAGATCCCTGGAACTATTTGATTTTGCACAAGAACAGCCCAGGTGAGCAGCAGCACCTGGGCTGGTTCCCCGGCAGACTAACATCACCACATGGCCTTCCTGCTCCCCACCAGCCCATCATGAACCACAACCCCTGGATGCTGCTATACTTCATCTCGTTCCTGCTCATTGTGGCCTTCTTTGTCCTGAACATGTTTGTGGGAGTGGTGGTAGAGAACTTCCACAAGTGCCGACAGCACCAGGAGGAGGAGGAGGCTCGGCGGCGTGAGGAAAAGAGACTCCGGAGACTGGAGAAAAAGAGAAGGAGTAAGGAGAAGCAGATGGCCGGTCGGTAGTCTTTCCACATCTCTCTGGGTCATGCTTGACCTCGGCTTGTGACTGCAGGGGGCTGGGGGCTGGGACTGGAGGCTAGGAGAAGCTGCTCCTGCCCCCCCCCCCCCCCCCCCCCCCCCCCCCCCCCCCGCCCCCCCGCCCCCCCCAGCGGCCCA